CTTATATCTTGTTAAAGTAGCTGAAAAAAATTCAGAAACCTTTTGACTTCTAGAACAAACTTTTCACACTAAATTAGAACGAAAAAAGCAACTCTTACCCTATAGTCAAACAGACATATATCATCAACATAGAGCCTGGTGTAGATGTGCATTGACCCAAGTTACCGTACCAGATTAGCGCCACAAGATGAAAATAACAGGAGAGATAGAAATAATATAGTACCAATGGTAATGAAAAACACAAAACCTTGGGAATATTATTTTAAATAACAGGGTGGGAAGGTATTTGTAAGTATTACTGCGATTCAAGATCGGGTTAAAGATAAGGAGTAAATGCATTTGAGCAATGCTACTGATTACTTTTATCATGCGGACACCATCCAGGTAGTCTGCATCTATTAACATAGTTCAGACCAACAGTCAACAACTTCATGGACACATGTCATGTTTTGGTTTGGTCCCAGCTTTCTTTCAATTTACTTTATCAGCAAACATTGCGCGCTAAGAATAGCATATGTAACACATTTCCCAGTCACCTCAGTCGATGAAGATTTACAACCTCGTCAACTGATTTTTCACTCTACGCCTAACCCCAACATTTGTCACTCGATCGTTCTATGAAATGCTTGAGAGACACCTATGATCAGAAATCTTTAGCCTTTGTATTCTTTCTAATTTCATAGCCGAAGATTAATACATGAAGAACCGCTGCCCAGCGAACACACCCTTTGGTTAACAAACGGATAGCTCTCTTCAAGGGACGCAATCTGGCAAACGCCCCAGTAGTACAATCACTGTAATTCGTTTACACGGTATGCTTCCTTAAAAAGGAAATTGACTTAAATGTGAAAGCAACTTTTGAAACCAGTTGTCTGCTATGTACTGATTTCATTAAAAATGATTGAACTGGTTGTGTTTTATTACAAATTACTATGAAAAGTGTTTATTCTTGTATCCTAGTAGTATATATTGCACTATGTTCCATGAATTTCAAATTAGTGAGAAACAGTTGTTCTGTACTTCTTAGTTCCCATTTTGTTCATCTACAGTCAATCTATCATCAAAACTTAATTAAGTTTTCCTCAAAACAGTTAGATGTTTGAAAATAGTCAACAAAAAATTGTGCTTGATGTAGTCTTTGTTCTATTTACATTCATCAACAAAGCATATCTGCAATCTCGAAAGAATTGATATCCCCTATAAGATTCAGATCAATTTCGCTATCTGAAACGTTATCACTGAACCAGTGTAGTGAATGAAGACTTGGGTACGTTGGGAAAACCAATTTAGTGTTTAAATTCACTTGGTATTGTTTGTTTGAATCTTCCCATCGATGTGTTAGGACTGCAACTGGTCAGTCTCTAATTGGCATATGTGCATACTGTGCGTATTGCCTCGACATAGCCTTGATTCACAAGCATGATGAGCAAAGATGGATAGTGGCTAGCAGTGGAATCCAGGACGCGCGTTTCGTCCTATTTGGGACTCGTCAGCTGGATGTACCTGCATCTCAGACAATACTAAGTGAATTTAAAATTCACCCCATTGCATAAGCAAGTGGCTATCAGGACTCAGTGGCCGAGTGGATAACGCGATGGCGTTTGAAGCGAGGGTACTGGGTTCGAGTCCGAGAGTGAACATCAACTCTGAGATGCAGGTACATCCAGCTGACGAGTCCCAAATAGGACGAAACGCGTGTCCTGGATTCCACTGCTAGCCACTATCCATCTTTGCTCAATTTAGTGTTTAATGCAAAATCACACTGCCATTGTAAAATATGAAAATCATAAAGTAGATACATCATTTACACATCATCCTTGAGTGGTCTTTTACATAATCCACCATTCTTCTAATCCTGTTGTTGTTCCGACTGCTGTCTGTTTTCTTTCCTCTTCTCTTTATTTCAATAATCTGCTAGTAAGAATACCAATTTCTTCTACATACTACTTATATCTGTCAGCATTAGTAGCGCACACCACACTAGCTATTCGAGCCTCAAAATTGTTGTCAGCATCCGAAACTTCCATATTCCTATAGCTTTCACTATTGTTTAGCTGTTTTTTGTTGTGTTTCATTGGAATCGCGAACCCATATATGTTAGATAACCATTAAAAACTTAGAAGCACTAAATGGCCTTTTTCGTCCTAGTATGGGACTCCTGAGTAGTAAGGAATCCACAACCCAGGACCTGTATTGCGCGCAAACGCTTAAACTCTAGACCAGTGAGTCGGAATCCAGTGGTGTACAATTATAACCTAAATCATTCTACGATATTGTGCTATCATCTTTGATTGTTTTCTTTGGATGTCTTCCCAACACCCGACACAGTTGAACTTCACTTGTCACAGCTTCTCACTAGAACTCTGGAAATTTCCTCCTAAAGTTAGCCACTAATGAGCACATGATAATTGTCAGTATCGGGTTGTGAAGATCTCCACAAGCCTGTTTTTGTTGTGCTGTGTGATGTCCGATTTTGATACTCAATATCCGTAAAGCTGTGGAAACAGCAGTGATATCCGCTAGTAAGGTAAGCCATAAGGTCAGGGAGAAACAATGGATCTCTGTAGCATCTACCACACTGATAGATGCTCGAAAACTCATCCCACCTGGCTCTGAACATAACGAAGAGCGGATTCAGCTCAAGCGAAGGTTAATAAGAAGCCTACACAATGATCGTGAACAGTGGTGGGTAGCGAAAGCAAGAGAGATGGAAAAGGCAGTGGCAATAGGTAACATCAGACAGCTATTCAGACTTATTAAAGAAACCGGCATTAGGAACCCAACTATTAGTGGAACTATCTCAAACAAAGATGGGCATATCATTCATTCTCAATCCAGGAGATTGGATCGATGGGCAGAACACTTTAGGAATCAGTTCAACTGGCCTTCAGCCACACTTCAGTTACCCACGATCCCCAGTCGTTCTGAATAGAAAATTGAGGTAAGTCCTCCAACTCTCTACGAGGTTGAAAAAGCTATAGGAAGTCTAAAGCGAGGAAGAGCCGCAGGACCTGACAGGTTTACCGCTGAGATTTTTAAGGATGGTGGTCCAGTACTAGCAACGAGATTGACTGAGGTCTTAGGTAGAATCTGGGAACTGGACGTAATTCCATCTGACTGGTCCCAATCACTGATTGTGCCAGTCTATAAAAAAGGACAAAAGTCCTCCTGTGACAATCACAGAGGAATCAGTTTGACTAATATAGTGTCTAAAATATTAGCTTCAATAATACTTAGGCGCCTAACCAAAGCTCGTGAAGAGCAGACTAGAGAAAACCAGGCTGGTTTTCGACCTGGACGTGGTTGCATAGACCAGATATTCACTGTACGTCAGGTCCTGGAACATAGACATACATTCAGACGTCCCACAATAGTAGTATTTCTTGACCTTAAGGCGGCATTTGACTCCGTTGATCGTGAGGTTCTATGGCAGTGTTTGTCACTGAAAGGAGTACCAAAGAAGTACATTAACCTCATAAAGGCTCTCTACTCGAACACAACTGGTCGAGTTAGAGCCTATGGCGAACTGTCATCAGAATTGGTTACCTCAAGTGGTGTTCGTCAGGGCTGTCCACTCTCCCCATTCTTGTTTAACTTTGTCATTGACATGCTTTTAGAGATAACACTTTCATCATCTAAATCTCCAGGAGTTGAACTTTTACCGGGAAGCTCACTTGTTGACTTAGAATACGCCGACGACATAGTTTTATTCGGTGAAGACGCCGACAAAATGCAAAGTCTTCTGACCACTATAAGCAACAATGCAGGCATGTTCAGGATGCGGTTCTCTCTCTCGAAGTGCAAAATGTTACTTCAGGATTGGGTTGCATCGACACCTGAACTAATGATAGGGAGTGAAGTAGTTGAGCGTGTTGACAGCTTCACTTATCTTGGGAGTCTCATCAGCCCTTGTGGTCCGGTGTGTGACTAAATCTCAGCACGGATACAGAAGGCTCGTCTAGCTTTCGCCAACTTGCGCCATTTATGGCGTAGGCGAGATATCCGTCTAGCAACAAAAGGACGGGTTTACTGTGCAGCAGTTCGTTCCGTCCTACTTTATGGAAGTGAAACATGGCCGATAAGAGTAGAGGATATTCGTAGGCTACTAGTATTCGATCATAGGTGTCTTCGAAGCATTGTTCGTATATCCTGGGACCACCAGATAAGTAATGCAGTTGTTAGGAAACGAGTACTAGGTAGAAATGGCAAATCGATTGATGAAGTAGTGAAACTTGATCAGTTGAGATGGCTGGGACATGTGTTACGTATGCCCAACCACCGACTGCCCAGACGTGCAATGCTTTATGGTGTAGGAGCAGGTTGGAAGAAAGGTAGGAGCGGCCAGACCAAAACATGGCGTAAATCCATGAAGCACTGACAAGTGGACTGGGCCATGTTGGTAGGTGTAGACTACCTGGTTTGGATTCGCGAGATGATAGCAACCGATGGTTAGAGACCTTGAATGACATGGCTCAAAATCGTTTGCAATGGCGAAAGTGCATACACTCTTTGTGTTCTACCAAATTCTAATCTTCTGAATTCTTCATGTCCGTATCCTTTTTCTCTTTCCAAATTTATCTCATTGGATTATACTCCTTCAATAACATCTTCAAACCCTTATCTTTCACATAATACTTATACTCTTACTACTTCTACCAACATGGGACTTGAATCGACAACTGCATCTCTGTGCTAATGTGGTATGGCAACTCGAACTGATGTGCGTACGTACGAAGTTCTACGTTGTAACTGACTGACTCAATATTCTTATGTACGAGTTCATCCGCCAACTTGAATAAGAAGAAAGCTTTTATTGGCTAACCACTGATATTTGTACAAACATATATGTGTCCGTCGGGAAATTAAGTCACCAATTGTATATGTGTCGTTCCTTATAAATGCAATTTATTTCTTATCCAATCACGCATTTATTATTTGACCAGTTTCCGGCGGACCCAATATACCAGTTTTTTCTGTTGTTTTTTTGCCAATAACTTTAGGCTTATGTCGATCCGGATGATTATGATGTACTTCGTTTTTGGATCCGTGGATTTCATCCACATTTTAATGCTACTCCAGCTTGTTCTACTATTTTTAATTTGAATGATTCCATATCAACCCAATCTGAACGTAAACAAGGCACATTTAAAAAATTATTCATACGAATTTCTCAACTATATAATATATTGGAACGATCAATAAAACGTAGTTATTCTCCAAATATACATGGTTATGAATCGGTAGATTCATTCACTACCGAATCGGATGGATTTTATTTCAGTCGAGTATTAATGTGTGTTCGGAGAAAAAATAGTCATAATTTAGATTTGAAACTTTTCGAAGTAAGTAAGATGTGAAGTATCTTTCTTTACCTAGCTAAGAAACAAACTATCTGCTGTATAGATTTCTTGTTTAGTGACTATTACAAACTAGTGTATCATTCAGTTGAATGTTGCAAGCGTTTACATTAATATTTTTGCCCCAAAATGCCCTGGTACGGACGAGAGTGGGGAGAGTCCGCTCTCCCTCTCCAAATGCTCTCATATAGCCACGCGGATATAGCCTCTGCCAGGGAAGTCCTACTCACTGCCTTCTCACAACAGGGGTGTTGTTCGAAATTGAGAGGACGAGAAGCGAATGTCCGGCGCTTTAACAGGGTTGGTGGACACTGCGAGTCCACCGAGGGGAGTTGGAAAACCTTCATTCCAAACCAATGGTGTACATGGGCTTCAGTGTCCTGAGGGAACAAATGGCGTATGAATCAGTCGTTGGTCGGCGGTTACCGTGGGATTGCATCTCCTCACGATGCTCCACTGCCTTGTGGATCAGACCTTTAGGTCGAAGGCTCCGGGTGTGGCCCCTAAGAAAACCACCTGTTTTAGTTTGGGCACCTGAACAATATCACAGCTCTCACACAAATCTCATTCGATTTGTGTGGCGCATATGTATTTGGTGCTTCCTCGTACCAATATTTATGTGTTCAAACAAATAAATAAATAAACACTTATATTTATGAATCCCTTTGTTATAAAGTAAATTGTCCTGATGAAGTCACTTAAATCCGATCGTTCAAACAAGAAACCGATATCACAACTAAGATAGTTTATTGAATTAAATTACAAACCAGTCAGTAAGTGAAATGCAGTTTACAGTATAAAATAGTCACTCTTATTTAATATAACTCAATATATCTGTCTTCAATCGTTAACAGGTCATTTTAACCGGATATATTATTTTTGAGATAAAAATGTTGGAAGAACATCCAAAACTTCCCCGTTCCTTGGTTAGTATTTAATTAATCTTAGACCTTAGACAAGTTCCACTTTAGTATAATTTTTTCTTATAAAGATGAACTTTTGGGTTGGCCAACCCTTTTGAAAAGGTAACTAGTCTCATTTAGGGATACCACTGAAAGAGCACTGGACGTTTGTTTCGTCCTAGTTTGGAACTTTTCGACGATACTCAGCCACAATTCTGTCAAGGATTAAACTCAGTACCTTTAGATCCCCCAGCAAACGTTTAACCATGGATGCAAAGCTTTAATTATCGTCCTGGGTAACATCACTCTTGTAATAACTATATAGTGAAGGATGTTAGGACGATGGACAATCCACAATTATCATCTATAATTTTTTGGAAGATTGGATTTATCAGAACTCATGTGGCATATATGTATATTGATGTTATGCATTTTTAATAATCTAACCATACATTTGCTTGTTAAGAAAAAGAGATTTCAAACTGGGTAAATTAGGAGATAAGGAAATAGTAAGATAATAATAATCAACAATATGAACTGCACTACTCTTGATAATAATAAACAAATACTAGCAGGGAAGAACAAGCTGTTTTTTGAACATATAAAAGAGATTTTAATCTTGATGTGACTAAGGCTTCAGTACATGCCCCTGGGGAACTTATACAAGACTATTAAAAGGTTGATTTAAAATCAGCCCTATAACCTGTTTCAATTAAATGTTCCTCACTAGAATAGGGGGACAAATGAAGACAGTCAACCACAAACGAGGTCAACTGAACGAATTGATATGACACTTATGGAAAAGTTCACTTCTGCATAAAGTAAACCCCGATGATTTTGTTCAGAATGACAATGGAAGCTCCTGCTTAATTAATTCGTTTAGCTCAGGAAACACAGCACTACTAATGTCTGTTCAATCTGTGCTCCTCATCTATTCTTCTAGATATTTAGGTAATGTGTGTTTAACTAGATTTACTTCTGTTATGACAGCGAAACAAAAAGATAACATTATTTAGGTCAGTATTTGTTGTATCAATTCAATTATGAATTTCGGCCTGGGTGATAAATATGGACTTTCGTTGACTGTCACACTCATGTTCCCTGTATCAATTTAGGTGAACTATATTTAGTGTATTTCTTACAGTTTATGTATTTTTCCTGTATCTAAGGTATTATTGTGTGTAAAAATTAACATATAAATGATCATATTTTAGTCTAAAGACAATATGGTTTTGGACTTTAAATAAGGTATTGTAGCGAACCAAACAATGTTATATATTACATAGGCCGTTCTCAGAGGGTTTTATGTTTGCGTGGACATTTACCGCTTTGGTTGGGAAAAGGGGTCACAAGATCTACTAACAGCTTTATACTTTATCACTTAGCAGATAGTGAATATCATACTAAAATAGACAACGTTTTCCCAGTTTTGTATCAAGTTCCGAACAATCCACCTAAAGGAGCTAGATTATGATTCTTCTACAAAGATGAAGTCATCTAGATCAAATCCAGAAAGCCTAACCTATGTATCTAAAAGAGGTATGTTCAGCCTCTATGTTTACCTTGGTTCGCGACTGGATCTCCATAAACCTAAACTAAATATTGTAAACCGACATCCTCCTTTCCCTCCCCCTCACCAGTTCGTGTTGTTTTTTTCGCCGCTTTTAATATTTTACTTTGTTTAATTAACTAGCATGCCTTATTTTAGCCTTTGTAAAATAGCACAACAATTATGGACTGGTGACGAAGCTGTTAGAGACAGTTGTTTGCCCAAATATTCCTTATTTTTGAATATTTTGTTAGGATTTTTAAACTGCTGAAATCTTCATTTGTACCAGTCCTTGTGTTTTCACTTCGCGTCGTAAAAATTGCAGTAGTAGTTTTTGTCTAAAAGTATATGCAGTAGGATCGATAAATTGCATTAGTTCCCGATTGTCAAGTGTAAGCAATAAGACAGCGGACATATCAGAGTTGATACGTACCTTCATAGTGACACACGCCCAGATATAACACTTCCAACGAGAATACAGAAGCTTTCAACAACTTTCTTCACCATTATACTAATAAACTTCATCATTCCATTCATAAAGTCAATTTTCTTTTCAAAAATTTGTTTTTTTTCCTCCCTCTCCCTTTAGAATGTACCTGTTACAGGTATTGTACGTAATTCAACTTTTGCTGATAATCTCTTATATCTTTTACCAAATTTACGTACAATTCCATTGAGTAAAAGTTCACGTTTAGTTATTTTATTAAGTACAACTACAGCTGTATGTTGTTTAGGTGTAATTAGTCCTATCGCTTGGTTATTTGATTCAAATAATTATGATTTAGTATTAGCTTGGTCTATGGCTGCAACTTCTTGTGCCATTACTACACTATCTATTGTATGGGTTCGTTATTGGCGTGCACAAACTAATTTAGCTAATAATTTAAAGTATATGGTAAGTTATTATTTTAATTGTTTGTATAAAAATGAAATTTTAATCATATTCATTGTTAAATTCATTTAGCATTGTTTGTTTGAATCTTCCCATCGATGTGCTAGGACTGCAACTGGTCAGTCTCTAATTGGCATATGTGCATACTGTGCGTATTGCCTCGACATAGCCTTAATTCACAAGCATGATAAGCAAAGATGGATAGTGGCTAGCAGTGAATCCAGGACGCGCGTTTCGTCCATCGCACAAGCAAGCGGCTATCAGGACTCAGTGCCCGAGTGGATAACGCGTTGGCGTGTGAAGCGAAAGGTACTGGGTTCGAGTCCCAAAGTGAACATCAACTCTGAAATGTAGGTACATCCAGCTGACGAGTCCCAAATAGGACGAAACGCGCGTCCTGGATTCCACTGCTGGCCACTATCCATCTCTGCTTACCATTTTCATTGTTACTTTTGTAATGTTAGCGAGTTGATACTGTGATACTCACTCTTCCTGTATACAAGTTCGGTTACTCGAGAGAAAAAAAAGATTAGGTTTATTATGTTAAACCAATTCATTTATATATTTTTGTGATAAATATAACTGAACGCTTGAATTGGTTTCCTAAGTTCTTCTATAACCCCAAGGATAAATCTACTCGACAATTTTAACACTAGAGAAAATGCGCAAAATGTGGAAAAAACGCTTTACTCCACGGTTAGTTTATGTATAGAAAATCGACAGTATTTATAGCACTTCAGATGGCCTTGGGCTTCCGGAAGGTTCTGGAACTCTACTAAACATAATAGCAGGACAGGTAATCATCCAGTCAGAAATGTGACATGTGACTATTCACTTTGTAGATGTTTCTGCGAAACTTCGATTCAATCCTGATAGGATAAAAATGTTTACTAGCGTTTTCAGGGCCCCCTTTGGGTCTTTTTCGAGAAATATTCTAGATCTCCCCAACATTATACTTGTCTGTCCTTTAGGAAATCAAGCTTGTCAGTAGTTAATATTTTATTCCTTGCAAAATAAAGCCATTTCTTGATCAATTACGTTCCCTCATCATTGGATGATTTTTTATTGGCTCTCTATATCAGTTTGTTGACTACCGAATGTTTAAAATTTAGGGTAAAATCATACTGTACTGGCGACCTTGAGTCATTTGTCAGTTAATCAAAAACGTAGTGTTTACTCAAAAATTGCAATAAAATTAGTTGATAAAATTACAAACAGTAAACAGTTTTGGAATGAATAATAAACCGTTACACGTTGAATTTATTAGTATGATTAAAGAAAAAAGGTTAGGGTTATAAATTAGGTGTTGGAGCCAGAATCCTAATCTTAATCGTAACTTTGGATTATGAGTTGGTGTCAAAATTTTAATTCGGGAATTAAAATTTTGGGGATTAAGATTATAAATTATAGTTAACGTGAACAAATACTTCTAACCACGCTAGTACTCTCGAGTATAGCCTGAATCACATCGAGTAGTTAGCGTTTCGGAAATAATCTGCTTCTGGAACAGTTTCCTTTTGTTATTTAACTTACACACTATATCACATTACGACTCTAAAGTGGATATTTTCCAATCAGTTTTAGGTATATTAAGAACTTCATATGGTCATTTTAATGAAATGCAAGCTATCTTTTACTCCGTTTTGAATTTTGCGCAAACATCTAAGAGGCGCTATCAAATTAGTTCGTCAGTATAGTATCGTTTTATCAAATTTGGAATAAAACTGGAGCGCTTTCTTCTTATTTGAGACTCGTTATTTGAATGTACCCACCACATCCCAGTGTTGTCGCCTTATACACCTACAGTGTGTTAATCGCTAATCTACTGAATTCAGATAACCATTAACTTGTTCAATCTGTACAATAACTCTTTGTAAAGGTTTGTATTATCCTATCGTTGATATTCAAGAGTAAAATTTGACCAATGTTTGTTGCCGTATGCCTACCTTAAGCAAATGCCTTGATTTATGGCTTATTGGTTACAAATTTTCAGGACAGACACGTTTAATGGCTGTCCAAATTTAGTAGCCTACTGGTCAATGTGTACGTGTTTGGGGTGATAGGTACCAAATTCGAGTCTCACTGTAAACATCAACACTAGAAGGCAAACACATCCAACTGCGAACTCAAAATAGTACAAAACCTGCATCATTTGTTCTACTGCTAGCTACAATCTGTCTATTCTAAATACGTTGTCACCAAACAGCCATATCAATTCGATTCACTCAGAATGGATATATGCCAACAGAGATGGATCAGATTCAATACAAAAATATTAATAACTGGAAACATTCCAATCCTTAGAAATAATAATAGACAAATAGTATTGTTTAAAGTATCTGTAAAATCAAAGTTCATAGTTTTCTACTCTTATTATGTCAATAAATTTCTCAGGATAAATCAAGCCTATGTATTCCAGCTAACCAAATTTTTGTTATCTTCCATTCACTACCGAAATTCATTTGATTCGAAAGAAAAAAATTATTGTTCTGAAAACATCATTTCGTCTCAATCCTATAGGAAGAGGTCAGTCGCGGCCTGAATAACTCGGTGGTCACCTCTCAGAACTCACTACAGACCGGGGCCCAAATTCACCAGGAAACATCAATCCCCTCAAGATTACTAGCGAATATCGGCTAGCACGAAATCTATGTCTAACGCCTCTTTCTGTTAACTATCTCCATCCACTTAGCTTGTCATTTTAATATCCTCTGGTAATGTACCAGTAGAAATCATGAGCGGCTTTTACAGTTTATTAAAAAATTATTACTTTGTGTCAATTATCCTATTATTATTATTATTATTAATTATGTAGCAGTATCTTTGTTGCCAAAGCTCTGGACTACAATCAATCAATATTTTGTTGAAATTGGCGCATGAACAAGAATTTAAAGCAGCTTTACTTACATATGCTTTGTTGTTAAGACCCACTGACAGTAAGTAATGAGCAAAATAGTCCGGTGTTTTTTTTATTTTTGTATCAATTTTATTGTTATGTTTTGTACTAATACGGAGGATGATTTTCATTGATTGATAAACATTTCATTGTCATTTAAGGTAACAGACAGCTTAATCATCTGATTAAACTATATATATATATATATACAAACTCGTAGTTTGATTTCATTTGGAGTACTATTGAAAACTAAAAAGCACTAGTCAGCCATTTCATCCTGGTATGAAATCCCTTGGCATCAGGTATCCACTATCCTGTCAAAGATCGTTTTAAAGACCACCATTCAGTCTAGTAGCGAACTCTTGATGATTAAAACTACTGGACGCCCGTTCGGTGGTTCAACTTCAACTAGCGTGACGATCATCTAATGCCATTGGTGACAACTGTTTCACTCTCAACTTATCTTGAACTCCATTGGTCACTGTTATGGCTTGAGTACACTGTTTGATATCTCAAGTTAAAGCCATTAATCAGAATTACTTGCTTACTCCTGTTACCCCTCATAAAGGAGCATAGGCCACTCACTAGCATTCCCCATCTAACTCTGTCCTGGCCCATTCTTCCCAGTTGCTATTTATCCTTTTCATGTCTACTTCCAATTCTCGACGCAGTGTGTTCTTCGGCCTTCCTCTTTCCCATTTTCCTTCAAGATTTCAAATTATGGCTTGCCTCGTGATGCAGTTTAATGACTTTTGTAATGTATGTCCTATCCACTTCCTCCTCAGCTGGAAGCTGATTTATCCTCCCCCAAAGTAGGCTGTTGTTGATGGTATCCGGCCAACGGACGTTGAGTACCTTATGTAGACAACTGTTTACAGTTTTTTGTATCTTCTTGATGATGGTTGTAGTAGTTCTCGAAGTCTCAGCTCCGTAAAGTAGAACTCACTGTCTTGACGTTCGTATTGAAGATTGTGACTTTGGTATCGGTTGACAGTTGTTTTGGGTTCCACATGTTCTTCAAGTGTAGGAAGTCTGTCCTTGCTTTGCCAATCCCCACATTTACGACTGCATCAGATCCTCCTTGTTCATCGGTGATACTGAACAGGTACATGAAAGTTTCCACCACTCCCAGATTTTCTCCAAGTGTGATTGAGTTGGTATTCTCTGTGTTGTATTTGAGGATCTCGATTTCTCCATTGTGTGTATTGAGGCCTACTACTGAAGCAGAGGTTGTTGCTACACTGGTTGTCTTGATCTGCATTTGTTCGTGTGTATAGGATGGAAGATTTATGTCATCTGAGAATTCCAAATCTCCGATCTGCATCCAGCCTGTCCATTGTATTACATGCTTTCCATCAGATGTCGAGGTCTTCATAATCCAGCCAACTGTCAGAGGAAAGAGGAAGGGAGAGACTAAGCAGACATGTCTGACTACAGTCCTCATTTTGAATGAGTCTGTCAGCTGCCCTCCATATACCACTTTACACTGTAGTCCGTCGTATGAATTCCGTTTGATGATGTTGACAATTTTCTCAGCTAATCAGTCCAAAGTGTCGAAGAAGGTTCCATGGGGTTCCCCTATCCACACTGTCAAACGCTTTCTCACAATCAAGGAAGTTGATGTATAGTGACGAGATCTACTCAACTGATTGTTCAACGATGATTCGTAGTGTCGTGATTTGATCTGTGCACGATCGATCCTTACGCAATCCAGCCTGTTAATCTCGAAGTTGGGCCCCTACTGAATCCCTCATCACGGTTCACCAACACTCTGTTGAAAACTTTTACTGGTACTAACAGTAATGTGATTCCTCTGTAGTTCTGATATCTCCTTTCTTTGGTATCTTGATTAGGTGTCCTTCTTTCCAGTCTGTGGGTGGCACTTCTTCCTCCCAAATCTTCCTGCATAGGACGTAGAACATGTTTACAGTTATTTTATGTCTGACTTTAGTGCTTCAGCTGGTATATTGTCAGGTGCTGCTTCTTTCTCCCACTTGATTTGTCTGATTTTCATGTTGATTTCTTCGATGGTTTGTGGGGTGACATATACAGGAATGTCTGTGTGTGCTGCTTCGATGTGCGGTAGATCCAATGGAGCTGGTCTATTCAAGAGTTCGTCAAAGTGTTCTACCCACCTGTTCCTCTGCTCTTGAATCTCGGTGATTGTCTTGCCTTTCTTTGTCTTTGACCGGTTTCTCTGTTTTACTATACTTCCCTACCAGTTTCTTCGTTGTGTCATATAGTTGTTTCGTATTTCCTTCTCTTGAAGCTTTTTCCGTTGTCGTTGCTAGCTCTTCCACGTATTTCTGCTTGTCAGCTCTAATGCTCTTCTTTACCTGCTTGTTTGCTTCTTCGTATTCAGCTTGTGTCTTGACTTTCTCTGTTCTCGTTCGTCTGTTGTTAATTTATGTCTTCTTGCTCTTCCTTTCTTGAATCTTGCCCAGGGTTTCGGTAGACATCCATTCCTTATGATGATGGTTTTTGCTGCCCAGAACTTCTTGACACATTGAAGTTAATAATTCTCTGATCCCTTTCCAATTGTCCTCCATAGGAATTTATTCTTGTTTGAGTAGATATTGTAACTCCTGGAACCTGGTGTTGAGAATCATCTTGAATTGGTTGAGTTTGTCAGTATCTCGAAGGAAAGTTGTATTGAACCTTTGCAGTGCTGTTTGTCCAGTTTTCCAGTGTTTCTTTAGCTTCAGTTTCATCTTGGCCACAACCAGATGGTGATCTGAAGCTGCATTACCTCTTCTCCTGGTTCTCACGTCTTCCATTAACCTTGTGAATTTTTACTGATGTAAATATGATCTATCTGGTTCTATGTTTTGTGACCCGATGAGACTCATGTAGCTCTATGTATGTGTTTGTGTGGGAATATTGTGTCGCCTATAACCAAATTGTTGAATCCACATAGATTTGCAGACCTCTCCCCATTCTCGTTTCTCTCTCTCTCAGTCCATGTCGTCCCATGATATCTTCATAATCGTTGCTGTCTATTCTGACTTTGGCGTTTAGATCCCCCATCTGGATGATCAGGTCTTTTCCTGAACACTTCGCTATGATTGATTGCTGCCTCTCATAAAACTGATCTTTATTGCCGTCGTTTCTATCATTGTCGGGTGCACAACATTGGATAATATTCATTGTGATCCTTCCTTCTTTGTTTTGAATGATGCTTTGATAATTCTGATGTTCTCATGGGGTTTTACTTTCTGTTTCAAAGATCTATTCTTTAAAATTCTACTTTATGTTAACAATGAGCACCACTATAATTTTATGAGTGGACCAATCAAATTTGAGGTAGCACATCTTGGATTTCCGCGCAAAATTAATATATCTGTATTTTTAAATAGCATTTTGACATTATTTGTTTGTGGTGGAAACCGTAACTCTAATTACTAACCCTAAGTCTTTATCCCGATTTCTCACATTAATTTATGACCCTTTACGGCCTTAGTAATTAGTTGCAGTTTCTCAAGTTCACTTTATTATCACTCATAGGTTGTCTAGAAATTATAATTGAACGCGCGATAACGCACTGACATTGAATTAGTCCATTCAGTTCATAGACTGAAGCTGAATTATCTTTCCTTCTAACTGAAAAGGAACTCTGATAACATAAGTTCACTTATTTTCCCATTTGTAAAATCCCACTAAATAGATGATTCCTCTAAAAAAAAACAGATAACTGAAATGAAAATTAGTTTTTAATACACCCTCAGCCCATATTTAATTAGTTACTTAGTAAAAAACGTGAGAGAGGCAGAAGAGGTCAGTAGCAGGAAATCTGTATCCAACGCAAGTAATTCTGTTCAGTCTTAAAATTGTTTTCAATACAATCAAACACTATTCAAAAAAACGCTTATAAAAAGAAACACATTGGAGAACTACCTTAGCTGTGGTTAGTCTCTATTTAAGAAATACTCACAGAATGATCAAACTTGAGGATCTTCATGGTTTTTACTGCTAAATGACATCATTCAGTCACGGATTCAGAATCCATTGATCCATGTTTTATCAATCCAATTATTGAATTGTATAGCTTGATTATTAACTAATATCTTCGTCTTCGAACATTCACTGACTTAACTAACTACAAAAGCCAGTCTATTTGTAACTGTTTAATGTGATTATTCGGAGCGAATTAATTGATAATTCTATGTGGAGTGATAGCTTTGTGGTTAATTCTGAGATTCGAGCCTTTCTCTACCTCCAATTCTGGTCATATATAACGTCGTTTAAAGTTTCATTATTTACCTCCCTTCAGGTAATACTGCCTTAACTCCTGTACAGTTGGGTTTTCGCGCTGAATCTTGGATTGCTAAACACTTATCACCTCAATCTCATATTTCATTACCATCTTCAATTGGTGCACCAATCACAGGTGATTCTCCTGATTCACAATTTAACGGTGGCTCTGGTCCACTATTCGACTTATCATTTGATGCAAATAGATCTTTACAAATATTACGACGTTTAGATCTGGTTCGTGGATCGGAATCATCACCAAATGCAGTTAGTCCCGAGACAGCATCTGTAGATATTCCAAATGATGGTTTATCTAAATCAATTGGATTAGATCGTCTCTGGGTGACGGATCCATTATTTAAAGAATTAGATTTAAATTTGTCAAAATCAAATGAATGTTAATTTTCATATAATCTTAATTGAATTTATGATTTATTGTTGTTGGAACGCATTAACTAATCTTTTTTCTAGAACATAAATATGTACTTGTCGAATGTCTTTTTTTCCCTATACAATAGCACACAACATATCTTATTTAGTTATAGTATAGGAAAGTTTCAGTTTCGTATTTTAAACTATTTTTAATATAGACTATAATGAATTCCATATTGCTCCCCGTTATTTTGGAACACAAAAAGCAAAATATTTTTCTCTCTAACCTTTCATCACCTGTTCTTTAATGAATTGTTTTAATTTTACATGAAGCTAATGAACCATAAATTTGTTGTATATTACTCTTTTTTCTGCAAACAAAATTTAGTATAAACCATTCCCCCTTTTAAATTCTTGTTTACACGTTAATTTCTAAATGTTTATTCAGTGAAACTTTGGCCTCAATATTAGTTTAAGATCTCATGAAATATAGTATATATATATGTAGAAATATTATGACTTACTAGTATTATCAACATACCCAAACTTGCCTGTTAAAAAAATAACAAAAAAACAATCCATCTTAGGTAAATAGTGGAATCCCACAAAATACCTTGATTTCCATCAGATGATGTCAAAATAAAATCGCAATAGTAAGGATTTACATTAATAATTCGCATAGTACCTGAGAAAAAACATTGCATAACAAGGGAAAAACTTCATAATAAATTCCATAAAATCAAAAACGACATATTTTGAAATGCAGCATATTCCTAGACAAAAACATTCCAGAAATTAGACGATCCACCAACAAACCGCTATGCGAACAAATTGATCTGAGTTCTATGTGTTGTATGTGGGGTTGTTTTGTGCGAATGGCATGTGCAACGTGCAGCATTTGGATTGCTATCGGTGGTGATGGATGACAAAGTGGTTATGTGTTGCACGTGGGCGGATTGGGAGAGACTAGGGTGTTAGGAGTTGCCGTTCAGAAGTCGGCATCTAGAAGACATGGTTCACTGCCTCACTGGACGACACCCGACGTTAGCCTCCAAACCACGACCCTGAACTGTCCCACTCGTCCTCACTTCAAACCGCTACACTGCATTACAACAAACCAACGTTCAGAAGGGGGTTTTGTGGCTGAAATCATGAGTCAATTGAAGCTAGACCTCCATGGAGAACCTGAAAGTACTGGACGGTTGTTTCGTCCAAATGTGGGACTCCCCAGTAGCGTGCAGTCGTGATCCCGCCTGGCGAGATTCGAACCCAGGACCTATCAGTCTCGCGCGCGAGAGCTTAACCTCTACAACAACTGAGCATACATTCAACGGTGTTAGTGTCTAACTTCAACCAATCCACGAAATTGAAAATATACTAAAATCTCCACAAAAACCTCTTCTGATAATGATCATATGCTCACTACTGACTGGATCCAAGAGGTATTTTCTGGAGTTCTAGTGGGAAGCAGTAACCAGTAGAATTCAACCTGGTCTGTTGTAAAATAGTGACTCGCTGAAGACAATGGTGGACGTGTCGCTCAATTTTGTGGATCGGTTGAATTTAGATATTAACACCTCTGGATGCATGCTCACTGGTCTAGAGGTTAAGCGCTCGCGCGTGAGACCGATAGGTCCTGGGTTCGAATCTCGCCAGGCGGGATCATGACCACGCTACTGAGGAGTCCCACAATAGGACGAAACGACCGTCCAGTGCTTCCAGGTTTTCCCTGGTGGACTAGTTTCAATTGACTAGGGATTTCAACTATTAAAAAAACATTCAAATGTCAAACACTCCAACACACACATATTCCTGCACACACCAAACAATGGTCGACTCATTGACACATATCTGGTCAGTTGAACACATGCACACCGAACCAGTTAGGAGCACTGTTATATCTAGAGCCTTGATTCTTAATATGCCGCAAACTACTTGACTACTTGAACGATAGAACCCGCAACGTCGCAAAGAGAGAAGACAAAGACTGGTAAGCAGGAAGTTTATTGCCCCGAACAATGTCAAAATATAGCACAGAAATCTCGTGTATTTATAGTTTTTGGCTGAAAGTAAATTATCATTTAGGTCAACCAATAAGCACATAGGTATCAAACTAATCCATCCAATGAGGAAGCTCCACGTTGGCATTTCTAGAACATTCCCCTAGCCCTGATTGGATGGAATGTCTGCGGCTCTTCCTGGGCTTCCTAGAGCCTCCTCGACTTCACCTGTGGACCATCCTCACAAGCACTGTGTCTCACTCCACTTGAACATGTCGGTCCGCATGGCTGGTCACCTCTACTGTGCATAGGTAGCTGATGTTGGTGAACACTTGATGTGTCATTGCATCGTCATATCCAGTGGTGTGTCACTCCGATGTGATTCGTTCGTGTCATGAGGAATGATGGAATTGTCTGACTCCACCCACCGATTCATAAGTGGATCGGTCCACTCCCATTCATCAAGATGTCATGTCCAACAATCTCGTATTAGTGTTGTAGCAGTTTTATCCATCAGTGTAACGATAAAATATTTACGTACTTTATATACGAATTGTGTTTTTTTTGGTTTCTTTATGTAATCATAAAAGTATTGTAGTAAATTACCTAGACCATTATTTGTATACCTTTAGCCTGAAATTTTAAATAGTGTAGAAGTGGAAAATTAAGAAGAGCTTAAAAACAGATTTTCAGAAGTCGGGAATCTATGTAAACGGTTGTGAAATACTGAAAAAAATTTCTATCGTTTTGAAGAGAAACAAGAAATATATATTCATAACTGAGGTTGTTGGAAAGCATGTTGCTCATAAAGTTTGAGTCTCAGATCATCAAGGCAAGGAAGAGTAATAACTGCGTCACTTTGGGTGAATAAATTTGATTGAAATTGTCTTTCAATAAGGGCATAAGTAAAACGTGATAACCATTATAGGGGTTTGTAGAGATTGCTGAATTTGACATTTCACAATGCAGATCGACCTAAGCTATACAACCATTGAAAAACCGAAAGCACTATAAGTTTGCTTCGTTCTAACATGTGTCTCTAAAACAGTTTATGATAGGCTCTGCTGAGGATCGAACCCAGGATCTGGATGACTCGCGGTGACCGCTCAACCACTGAGCGAGCGACCGATGTTGGGCCTATCTATCTTCGGCCAACGCATAATATTATGCGCTTGTCTTCCGCCTTCATTGGATAAAAACACCACGCTCGAAATGTCTGAAATTCATCAGACATGAGTGCCCACTTGAACTCCGAGAGCTGTATCTCGAGGAGAAATTTTTATCTTTTACGTTATCCTCCGCTAATTCTGTCTGCTCAGCTTACCTTACTATTCGATAATTCTTTGAGTATTAAACTATACTACTTAATAACATTCAATAGTTAATTATCCTAACAACGTTTCGAAATGTGGTGAATCATGTTCACTTGCTGTACACAAATTTGTAACATTCAGTATACTTATTGAATATAATTGTAACCTGGTAAGATTTGCAACTGTCACTCACAATTTTTATGCACTTAATGAGTCTTTATTTAAATGTAACAGTCATTGTGTTTTGTGCTCTTAACCTCCATTTCGATTGCTGACTACACACAGATATCGGTTGTTATTTACACTGCCATAAGTTGTAAACAGTCTTTGTGTAATTATTCAACAAATCATTTTTCATTTTATGTACATTGGTAAGTTAAACGACTCATATTTCTCACAAGTTGAGGTTGGCAACTGTTGTCTTATGACCGCTGACCAATATCACATGACGAACCACCCAATCAGAATCCCGATTTGTATGACCTAGTATCTCTGAGTTGACTAATAACATTTCCAACCAGTACTAGTAACCTTGAATCAATTTTCCCTGGTCCACGATTCTCTGTCTTCTTTCTCTGACCTTTTCTTGAGTCCAGAAGTTAGAAACCAACTTCGACCATATTTGTATTTCAGAGATGTAATTTGTATACAAGTAGACCATACCATACTACACCATGAAACGAAAAAATAACAATTATACATGACCAAGCTAAAGTGGCTGTGATTAGGGTAGAATGGGAATAATAAGTTGACAACATATTAGGAACAGTAAACCATACAACAGTATTTAATGGGTTAGTCGAAATCTAATTACGAAAGAAACATATACATCTTAATCCAGTGTCTTAATAATTGTCTAACAAAATTATGATTAATAATACTTCGAAAAAAACAGTTCCGACTCCTACGATCTTCTTTCTTTTATAAGAGAAACTGTTTTGAACATGATTTTGTGGCAATAGTACTGCTCTCCAGATAAAATCGTTCTGATGAACTCTCATTACCGTGAGTAGCTCTGTCGTGTGGTTAGATGCTTCGGTGGATTTAACACCTTTTAATTCGATTACAGCTTCAGAAACCTTTCATCATGTCTGTTCAGTAAAGTGGAATCTGGAACGTATGTTTCGTTCACCTTTTTAAACTTGTTTTGAAAAAAAGTGAAAGGCAATATCAAACTAATCTGATCAGTATGCATATATGCAAAAAAAGACTGGTTGATTGAAGTCTTTAACGGGATTTAAACCTACCAAAAACTTCATACCCATTAAAGAAGTTAGTGGAGTACTAGAATCGACAGATTTATGAATAACGAGATGTGGTTTGAGTGGAAGGTATTGAATTGGAGCTTCAGTGTGAACATCAACACTAGGATGTAGAAGGTACATCTAGCTGATGAAATTTGAACAGGGCGAAATGTGCATTCTAGAATTAACTACTAACCACATAGTAAGTATACTAAATATCAAAGTAATATTTTGCTAACTTGTTAGCCTGAATCATCTGAATACCTCTATTAAAAATATGTAAAAGACATATATACACAATTATATGTACAGATAATTGTCAAATTAGGCTGCATTTCGTTGTTCCTTCCCGATTCCGAAATTCCTAAACATAAACGGTACATCTTCATTTCCGATTTAACATATTTGTGTACAATCAAAATTACCTCCTCAATTATAAAAGTAACCAATGCTTTTAATTTTAATAGAATGTTTTCGTTTGGCTGATTTCCACCCCCTTACCTAAAAGCCACTTTATTCTGTGGCTAAAATAGAGACGAAAATAGTATCATCATCCCTTTGACTTAAAAATAAAGTAGACATATTCGATACATTGACCTAGAATCAACCAATCAGAAGAGTGAATTTTACTAATAGTAGGTGAGAAACAGCGAATAGGTTATTTGTGTTCATTCATAATTTTCAATAAATGTCAAGTGTAAAGTTAATAATAGAAGGTATGGTATTCACCACCCCCAGGTACTATTATTATTCATTATTAGCTATATACTAAAAGATGAGAATGTAAAATGACCAAATAAATAGTTAACTTATCGAATGTATTCAAGGTCAAACAAAGTACTTCAGCCATTTGAAATACACAATTCTGGATTGATATCTTTAAATGTTCTATGTTGTGTAGCATGAATACCGCTGGGTCGTTGAATCCCATAATTCCAAATCAAAATGATATTCATACGAACTTATTGTATAGAAGGGATTTACTTGACTATATATTAAATTATATGAATAGTAACCGGATGGATGTTATATGCTCAAACTCATTTATAATGGATTCTTTGTTAAATTTCAATTCACAATTAAATCATAACACTGTATTACATAATAATCAGTTCTACTCAACTTTGATCCCTTATTTATTTCCTGTGGATTTAAATTTTAATTCATTGCAGCAGCAACAACATCAAAATCATCAGATACAAAATTGTACTAATAATTGGTTGGTGGGTAATGATCATATCAATAATAACGGTAATAATACTTCGGATCCAACATTAATGTACCTTGCAGTAGCTACCCAATGTATTCTACGCTATTTCTTAACAACACATAATTATCAACAAACTTTATATCTCAATTCATTTCTTCATTCCAATTATTCATCAACATCAGCTACATATAATAATACAAGTAGTCAGAATGATGATATCTTCTTTGAATCACCTAAGAATACATTAGAATCCAATTCCAGATTATTAATTCATAAATACTTAGAAATAGATCATTGTAATACAATTAAAATAAATGAGAATTCATCAATTACACCACGTATAAAACGTTATAAATGTACATATCCTAATTGTACAAAAGCATATTATAAACGTTCTCATTTAAATGAACATTATCATTTACATACTGGTGCTAAACCACATTTATGTAATCAACCTGGTTGTAATGCACGTTTTACACGTGCTGATCAATTATCACGTCATAGACGTGCACATACTGGTGAACGTAATTTTCATTGTAATGTTTGTTTAAAACGTTTTAAACGTAGTGATCATTTAAAAGTACATTTAACTAGAAATGTATGTACAAAATTTAATTTATAAACTGTTTTTTTCTATATATTTCAAAAAAAATAAGTACCTATTAATGTTTTCTTTTTATCTCTCTCCCTCTCTCTTGAAGTCACTAACTTCTAGCCTAAGCCATGTTAGTAGATGCAGACTACTTGATTAGGGTCCGCTTGACTATTGTAACCAATAGTTGGAGACTCTAGGTGAGATGGCTGAGAAACGATCATAATGACGTACGTGTATGCACTCTTTGTCTTCCCTTGAACTGTGAGATTAAAATTGCTTCATATCTTTCTTTCTTCGTGTACTATACCCTTAGATACAATCTTTCCTTTACATATTACCACTACTAAATTAACCGTTTCTATGAATTCGGTGTTCATCTTGTGCTAATGAGGTATGGCAACTTGGACCGATGCATATATGTGCCTGGTCCTACGTTGTAGCTGACTGACTGACTCTTTTGAATAGTTAAAGAGATAAACAACAGACATTAATTATAATAATGATCAAACTATTTGCATAATATATGTCAACATAGATGAGAACCCAGTGTATTATGGTTTTCTTTTTTAAAAAAATTTAAGTAAAAACTGTTACTATGACCACAATTATTTGTAATTAATAAGTTATTTGGTGGTAAGTGATGTTTGTTTGTTATATTTACAATCTTTGTTTTATCAAATATGTAAGATGTATCGCTGAATAGTTTCTAGGACGTTTGAAATTTGTTAACGAAATTGAGAGGACGAAAAGCGAATGCCCGGCGCTTTAACCGGGTTAGTGGACACAAAACGTCCACATAGGGGAGTTGGAAAACCCTGATCACAAACCAATTGTGCACATGGGCTCCAGTATTCTGAGGGATAAAATAGCGTATGAATCAACCTTTGGTCACTGGCTACCATAGGACTGCATCTCCTCACGATGCTCCACTGCCTTATGGATAGGACCTTTAGGTCGAGGGCTCCGAGTGTGGCCGCTTAAGAAAACCATCTGTTTCGGTTAGGGCACCTGTGCAGTATCATAGCCCTCACACAAATCTTATTTGATTTGTGTGGCGCATATATATCTGGTGCTCCCTTGTGCCAATATTTATATATTCAAACAAAATAAAATGATTTGAAATAGATTTTTTAAAAATGATTCCACATAATTTAGTGACCTAGTTATTCACGAAGTCATTAATTAGTGAACTGAATCATGTTGGTAGTTACAGACTACCTGATTGTTGTCCACGTGATCATTGTAATTAATAATTCAAGAGATTAAGTGAAATAATTCCGAATAGGTCACAGCATCATATATGCATTTACTGTTTGTTTTTTAAAATTTTTTATCTTATTACGGTTCATTCGTCGAACTTATTCTTTCTCATCGAATCATATTGTCTATTACCTATTATTTCATACTACCACTGATACCGTAACTAATTCTACTACTCTAACATTTGTTTTGATAGTTTGATCTTCCTCTCTGTATTGATATAGTAAGACAACTTGAATCGATACACAAATATGCCAAGTTCTACACTGCGTTGGAAAGTTTTACATACCTGGGGAGCATCATAATTAAACAAGGAGGATCTGATGCAAATGTGAAGGCATGAATTGGCAAAGCAAGGACAGCGTTCCTACAGTTGATGAATATATGAAATTCAAAACAACTGTCAATCAATATCAAAGTCAAAATCTTCAATACAAATGTCAAGACAGTGAGTTCTACTGTACGGAGCTGAAACGTGGAGAATTACGACAATCACCACCAAGAAGTACAGGCATTAATAAAGAGTTGCTTACACAAAATACTCGAGATTGGTTGACCGGATACCATAGATGTGAGAGAACAAAGCGACTTCGTGTTGAAGAGTAAATTAGGAAAAGACGTTGGAAGTGGATAGGACATACATATTGAGGGAATCATCAAACTGCATCACGAAGCAAGCGCTAACTTGTAATCGTGAAGGTGAAAGGGAGAGAGGAAGACCAACAAGCTTATTGTGTGGGGATTTAGGAGCAGACATGAAAATGATGAATAGCAACTGGAAACAACTAGAAAGGATTGTCCAGGACAGAGTTTAATGGGGAATGCTGGTGGGGGCCTCTGCTCCTCAACGAGGGGTAACAAGCGTATGTTTCTGGCAGTCCATCAGTCGATTTTAGTCCGTGACAAATCCTATTTTCATGTTTATTATTGACCAACATTTTTACTTTGAATACAAATTTAAAATGACATACAAATGATACAGATTAAGGTATTAAAGGTGAACTATTCAAGGCAATAACTGAATTGTTTGTTGAAGTGTTTCGTTTTACCAGGGACTTGTTAGCCAGATGTACCTTCATTCCAGTATTAATGTTTACACTTGGATTCGGACGTAGTACTCATTGGAAGCTTCTGGTAAGTGCAGTAGTTTCTTAAGGGTTGATGTTCTTAACTTCCAATCATCCAGTCGTAGGTTCAAACCACACCACCTACTTCGGTTTGTGTAATCGGATAATATAGCTACCCCTCACATTTCAAGTACAACTCGGACCCAAGTACAATTATCTATACCTGGTGATGTGCTAGTAATAATGGAGTTGAAATAACCAATAATTTGTTCAACGAGGATAACGCTTACATCATAAGTAGAAGTTTATATCAGTTCATCGACAGTATTCACGAACTAAATATGCCTATAATGAATAACTAGAATTCGGCCCTGAATATCATTAACACAGTAGTAATAATTTAAGTAACATAGTTTTGATAAATTAATCCGTAATAAAAGTGACTTTCAAGTTCAGTGTGTCTTCTGAACCCACCTTGACTATGAAAAAGCTTTTACCATTTTCCAGTATGGTATCAAGAATAATAATTAGAATATGATTTTGAATAAATTGACTATTGATATGTGAGGTTGTCCATACGTTTTTATATGTTAAGTAAGTGTTCAGTATTGAGCACTTATCCGTCCATTTAATGGATGAGTTTATTTATTTGAACACAAATATTGGTACAAGGAAGCACCAGATATATATGCGCCACACAAATCAAATAAGATTTGTGTGAGGGCTATGATACTGCACAGGTGCCCAAACTGAAGCAGGTGGTTTTCTTAAGCGGCCACACTCAGAGCCTTTGACCTAAAAGTTCAATCCACACAGTAGTGGAGCATCGTGAGGAGATGCAGTCCCATGGTAGCCGGTGACCAACGATTGATTCATACGCCATTTTATCCCTCAGGATACTGGAGCCCATGTGCACCATTGGTTTGTGATCAGGGTTTTCCAACTCCCCTGCGTGGACCCTCCGTGTTCACTAACCTAGTTAAAGTACCGGACATTCGCTTTTCGTCCTCTCAATTTGTAAACAACACCCCTGATGTGATAAGGCAGTGAGTAGGACTTCCTTGTCAGAGGCTTTATACACGTGTCCATGTGAGAGCATTTCGAGAGGGAGAGCGTACACTCACCATTCTCGGTCGTACCAGGGCATTTGGGAGCTAATGGATGAGTGCTACATATAAGTGTAAGTTCATTGGAGATTTCATGCCCTACATTGACGAGTTCATAGCAGACAGTTATAGATAACTTCAAACTCATAAAATGAAATCTTCATTGAAAATAATACTCTTCTATGCAAAATATATAAACGGTAACTACCCGGAAATCATGAATATTATGTAATTATGGAACACACATTATTGATTACCAAGTCGACTAAAACTGTTTAATTAAACGACATGTTTCTAAAACACTCTAAAGTAATCAGTGTCCAAATTCTAGTTCAGTCACATCCTGTTATATTTTAATTAAAACTTAGAAACATGCCAAATTTTCTTAGAAAGCCGATTCAAATGTCACTTTGTCTTTTACCTCCACTTATAATCTGTGTCATTAGACATAAACTCTAATGCTTTAAAAAACCTTCCAAAATTAAAGTTTTTTCTTTAGAAGAATATCTATTATTCATCTTTCTGCCGAAAAACCAAACAAACAATGTATTCTCCAACTAGACCATTGTTCCTCTATAAAATCCATTAAACTTGACAAGTTATCGGTTCCTTTACTGATTATCAATAAACATTAATTCAAACAAACAAATAAGACGTCCAACTACACAAAATACCATAATTCCTTTTTTATTTATTGAATATACTACTCATTAGATTTGTTAAACTTACAGTTTATTAGTGAAAGAAATGTAGAAGTTCAAGAAAACATTCATTAGATGATCAGTGAATTTGTCTTTGTCAGTGTAAATGATATTTCTAATCCTATAATGATAGCAACATATACATTGACTCTGATTTTGTAATGGATACAAATTATGAATATCAAAGTATACTATGACAGAAGAGTAGTTCCATTCGGTATACATTTTATACATTATTATTATTATTATTATTATTATTATTATTATTATTATTATTATTATTATTATTATTATTATGACAGGCAGTATTATGGATTTGCTTCCCCCCCGTTTACTGTATGTGATGTTTCTTTTAGATTAGAGGAAAAATAATGACATTCCTTTGGATAAAAATGTTTTATATGATTATGAGCACTATTATTATTATTACCATTACCATTACTACTTTCAATATTATAATTATTATTAATGATGATAATTGGTATAGTGAAAAAAATTATGCCATTTTACAATTACATCAACATCAAATATTCGTTATCTATGTTAAATCGAAAAACTCGGATAGTTGTATTTGATGGTCTCTAAATATCAGACTTCCATCTCTCTGACCAACACTGTAAATTAGTGTCAGTACTGTAATTATATATATATATATATACTCACTGCCTTCTCACACCAGGAATGTTGTTTACAAAATTAAGAGGACGAAAAGTGAATGTCTAGCGCTTTACCTGGGTCGGTGGATATGGAGGATCCATCTAGGGGAGTAGGAAAACCCTGATTCCAAAACAATGGTGCACATGGGCTCCAGTATCCTGAGGGAACAAATGGCGTATGAATCAATCGTTGGTCACCGGCTACCATGGGACTGCATTTCCTCACGATGCTCCACTGTCTTTAGGTCAAAGACTCCCTATGTAAACCACCTGCTTTGGTCTGGGCACTTGTGCAGTATCACAGCCCTCACACAAATCAAATGAGATTTATGTGGCACATATGTAT